TAGAGGTTTGCTCTTTGATCATATAAGCTCTTTGCTTCTCATTTATTTCCTCCTTTTGATAGCTACTGTAATTAAAATATATTTGTCTTGGAATCTATGGTGTTTTCAGAACAGATAAATTGTGTTCATTCTGGTACTTCCCATCCCAGTGTCATCAAATACCTCACGCTGATCCTGGCCCTCAGAGTGTGGATCAAAAAATCTGCACAATAGGGACACCTAGGGATATCGTCAAATAAACTTAGAGGAACCTCCAGGATCCAGGATCCAGGATCCACACACACACATATACATACACATACACATACATACACAGAGAGAGAGAGAGAGAAAGAGAGAGAGAGAGAGTTTTAAAAAGGTCACGAAGGGTTTAAAATCTCTGAAAGTTAAAAGGTCTTGCAAGATCTCATCTGCCATCATGGACATCTCCCAAGATGCAGTGACAGGGCTGGGGGAGGGAAGGGGAAAGCTTGGGTATACTCAGTGGTTTTTTTTCCCCCCCCCCCCCCAGTATGAGAAGCTGCTTATAAAAGGTCTTTTTGTTTCATTTTGGGAGAGCAACACTACCTTTAGACAGTGTTATTTGACAGCTTGGTAGGTCACATTGGCTGTTATTGAGGAGCAAGGACAGAGTGCATTAGAGCCATCAATAGTAATTTTCCCGTATAGAGTGTAATAGTAAATTGATCAGTGCCTTACTGGAGTGTCCTCTGGAAAAGGTGACTTAATAGTGGTCATGGTTGCCGTGTTCTTTTGTACTCATTAGCAGAGCATTCCTCACGTTTGTCCTGAGCTGTGCATTGGAAGGCGTCATCAGTAACTCACCTAATTTATACTAAGGCATCTTTTCCTTCTGTGCTTATAATGGTTATAAGCATATTTCCAGGTTGCCATTACTGGAAAGTAGAGTTTGTGTTGTCTTGTTCTCACCTTGCCTCCACTTCATGTTGCTTATTTGACTCTTATTTGAACAATCCCCCCCCCCCACTATGAGTTCTGGAAAGAACTGGTGTTTTCAATCATTATAAAGCAGGGAGGTGCCACAGAGAAAAGAAGTGCTGCAAAGAGCTGCCATAGGCCCCCAGATAAAAATTCCCTCTCAGGGAATTCTTCGGTCATGTAAACTTTTAGTTAGTTAACTGGGGACCATTTCAGACATTTTTTTACTGTCATTGGGTGGGATTCAGAGTGCTGTGGAGAAATTTTACTCTCTCATAAGGACTTCTCAGCTCCCAGCAGTTGGGGGTCCCTCTAGGGTGGCAACCCATGGGGGATGCTGCTAGAAGGAAATATTCCTTTTCCCATGTGGACACACTCTCAGCCACCTGTTTAGGAATGGTGATAGTGACTATTGACCACTATCTTTATACATGTCGTCATTCCTTTGTGATAGATCTGCATGTATCTGTGTCCTTCCCAGATGTTTGTTTAGAAAAAAACCCTTCTATGGAGCAGGTTCTAAACATATTAATCACACAAAAAATGAACACTTACACTGTTTGGGGGGGGCATGGCGGTGTATATGGGGCCCCTCTGCTCTGAGACTCTCTGCCTCTTCCTGCTAAGTCAGGACTGCACAATATATGACTGACCAGCCCTGTGTATGTATATAACCTGCTAAGTTTTGGCAACCTCTCTGTTTTTGCACAACCTGGCAAGCAGCAAAACCAATTTATTGAGGCTTTGAGCTTCCGTATTTGATGGCAGACTCAAAAGTTGTACAGTCTGGTTCAGGGCCAGTGGTGTGTATGGAGTGGCCCTTCAAGACACATCTTAGTGTGTGTTCAAAAATTAACGTTAACAGCAGCCTGAAATATTTTTTTCATTAATTAGTAATTCAGATTGCATGAAAATAAAGGGTTTAGTGGATGCATGAGTGCATTGATGTATATGTACACATTTGTTGTTTTCAGAACAATCAGTTTTAATGATTTCCTAGGAAAAGTCAAACGTTGATGATTTGCGGGGGTGTGCCATGCCCTCAAGGCCTTTGGGATCTTCCGGCGGAACACTGTTTCCCCAGTGCTGAACAAGAAGCTTTTTCTCGTGCTTGCTCATGTGTACCTTCAGGGCGAAAAAACTGACAGCAGCATTTCTAGAGTTGCAAGCGATTTGTAGTTAAGCTCACTGATCCTGGGTCATGTGATTAGAAATGTAGGCAGCAGATTCATGCTGAATTGACATCATGCCTTTCAGATTCACTGGGAAATTAAAAAGAAGGTGGGGGTAGGACAGAGAGGGAAAGGGTTCTCTCGTCTCCTCTTCCTGGTGGTGGTACTAATTCGTAGCTCCAGCTTTTACTATTCAGGGACATAGCAGTGGCAACCGAAATCAGCAGTGCTGTTTATGTAGCTCGGGACGCTCGATGAGGTCGAGTTGGATGCAAAGCACGCCTGCTGTAGAAACCTCTCCTGTAAGTCCTGGTGCTCCTTCTGATAAGTTCTCCCCTCTTGTGGTTCATTTTCAGGCTAAGCTCTATACTTGGCAAGCGCGTGGTTTCCTACTTTGCAGCCGCTGTGAGACGGTGGAATGGGATTGTGTACACTGAGCCTTTTTATGTACTAATATTTAAAATTGACGCTGTTTGAGCGAATGCTAAGGGCAAGCATTGTCTGCAGGAATATGTTGTCCTACGTGTGGCTTGACTGTGGAAGAAAGGTTATTTTACTTCTCCTGACAGGGGAGGACAAGTTGTTTTACTCTTCCTGCTGCAGATTGCAAAGCTGTCTAGTTATGCCTGATGTACTTAAGGAGGTGCTGCCTAAGTAGGCAGTTCTGCAGCTTGGTAATTAATGGTGTGGGTGGGTGAGAAGAGCAGATTCAATCCCATCATGGTTGGGGTGTGTGCAAATTTATTTATATAAGGTAATGTTACTTTTTGGAAGCTGTCTGTTGATCATATTCTGGTTAAACGGATTGTAGTTGGAGCATGGTTATATAATGTTGCTTGTACTGAGTAAAAGGCAGAGAAACCCCCCCCCCCCAAAAAAAATCTTGGATTAGGTGGAAGTTCTCAAAACCAATTTTTTTTCCTCTCCAAAAAGAGAATTCAATTACTTGTAGAAGAACGAGCAAGTTGTTGCCTTTAATTTTTCTTCTTCTGAAACTGAAATTCTTTGGTCTGTCTTTTCCCCTTTACAGTTACATTCTTACAACTACTTCTGTAACTATCTAAAATTATTTATTGATCTGTTTCACAAGAACAGATATTGCTGTGGAGCTATGGCTGTGCTTTCATCAGATAAAATATAAATGAAACTAAATTTCCCATGGAGTTTAGTTATACCCAAGCAGTGATACAGCCTCAAGACATGTGAGTGGTCAAGGCTGTAACTGTGCAAGAACAAGCTCTCTCCTCTTTACCTCCCCCAGAGAGGTGGAAGTGCTAGCCTAACCCAGATATTTAATGCTTTTAGGACTACTTATGCTGTGGTTGAGATCATGGGATATGGATATCAAATCTGGTGATGCAAGTGTGGTTCTTTTTACATATACCATGTCACAGGGAAGAGTCGTTAGTTATAAATGGTATAATTTCCCCTGACTCTGAAGTGAAAACAGGATTTGGTCTCTTAAACATTAGCTAATATGCTCAGAAAAATGTTCAGTTGTATAATGTCTTCTTTAACATAAAAAAACAAAATATATGTAAGAGCCACCAGGTGTCTAGGCCCTGGTAGTGGCACAACTATATTATTGAAATCACTGGCTGACTGGTTTTATTTTCACCACAGATCTGAGTTGTTAAGTAGCTGGCCTGGTTGTGGTGGATTGGCTAGTGGGGGAGTGGGGAATGCACAATGATTGGCACATCTCTCAGGAGAAAACTGAACAACATTTTGATACACGTGTCTCAGTGAATAAGATGACAGCATGGGTGGTGTTGGATAGGAAATGCTCAGATTCATTCTGACTACTCTCTATATGACTGTTATGCAGATTCTCAGTGCTGTGGAAATCCTTACTGATAATCTCAGAGGGTATCCATGTTGGTCTGCAGTAGAACAGCTATCTTCGAGTTCAGGAGCACCGTAGAGTCCAACAAGATTTGGGGAGTATAAGCTTTAGTAGAAGATCCTACTATGGGTGCTTCCCCCCCCCCATTAACTTTTATTAGCCTTGGTCCTTCCAATCTGGACTTTCTTGTGTAGGACTAGAGAACTGTTCACCTCTTGGGGCAGGGGCTGTCTTTCAGTATCTTTCAAACTTGCAGTCTTCTTGCCTAACTCTTGAAAGCTCTGTGTTATGCTTGTTCCAGTAGGGCTGATCTTATGGTCTTACACTGCTGTGGAACTCTTGAAAGTTTATACCCCCAAAATCTTGTTGGCCTCTAAGGTTGCTACTGGACGTGAATATAGCTTATTCATAATCTTTGTTACAATTCCATAAGGCCTGCAAGACGGAGCTCTTCCACCAGGCATTTGAGTGAGATGCCACCAGTGTTCCCTTTAAGCTGAGTTAGTGTGAACTAGCTCACAGTTCTTTAGCCTCTGGCTCACAGGTTTTTGCCTTAACTCGGGAAGGAGGGCTCCAGAGCAAGCTAGTTGATGCAGTCGCCAAACTGCTTGCTCACAACTTTAATGCCAGGAGCTCACAAAGTGGAATTTTTGCTCACAAGGTTCCGCAGCTTAGAGGGAACATTGGATGCCACATATAACACATTAAGTTAAAACCAGAGCCTTATCCTGGAATTTTTACCATCTGCTATTACTATTACTGACACCTGTTGTGGATTGTTGTTTCGCTGTCTTACTTGCAATATCTATGTATAGTACTTTAGAATTGTTGCATGATTTTATTCTATTTAATTTTTTTAAAATGTAAGCCGCCCTGAGCCTGCCTTGGTGGGACGGGTGGGGTATAAATCAAATAAATAAATAAATAAATAAAAATAAAATCGTCCCTGAACAGCCCTATCATTGAGCTTACATCAATTCATGCCAAAATGTGTTTTGTGTGTCTAGATGGTGATACTTGGGTATGTGTTCATCTGTTTTTAGTGTTCAACTCGCGAATCGATTCTGGTTGAAGATGAGGTGACAGATACTGAAGATAATGCAGAGGATGATTTAGGAGTTATGGATGATCAGCGGAGCATAATTCTTCATCTCATCTCACAACTGAAACTTGGAATGGACCTAACCAGGGTATGCAAATAACATTTTCTTTTAAAATTACCTGGTGTCAGATTGTCAGCCTCTTCTGAAGATCGACTATGAGGATGTTGTGCTTTTATTTCTTTCAAGTTTTGTCTCATAAGGCATTTGATTCATTTTACTAGTCAGAGAGAAAGGCTGTGCTGGAGAAGGTTTTCAGGTGTTGACTCATGTACATATAGTATAAACAGTGTCACACTGCTTTTGTTTGCATTTACTGTACTTATACCAACAACTGACTCTTTGGCGCTTGTGACCTGTTCTTAGGCAGACAAGAAGAGCTGAATAAATTAATGAATCGAGGACCCTGGCCTGCCTCTGTTTTGTCTACAACGCTGCTCTGCCACCTCTACACCTTTTCAACAGCTCTTCCCTTCTAATGTTCAAAGAAAATTAATTCACAAATATAAACAGCAGTGTTAATTTTCTCCTTTTGTGGAATCAGCACTGCTTTTGAAGCCCATGTGAACCAATGTAACACAAGAGAGCTGTGTGTCTGGTTGAAATAAGAGTATGATTGGCTGCTTTTCTGGCTGCTGAAAGAGAGTTTTGCCACTATAAAATGGCAGTTATTACATAAAACAGGCCAGAAACATAACAGTTGAGATCCCACTATGGGTACTTTCCCCCTAAAAACTTTTATTAGCTTTGATCCTTCCAGTCTGGACTTTCTTGTGTAAGACGAGAGAACTGTTCATCTCTTGGGGCAAGGGCTTACTTTCAGAGTCTTTCAAACTTTCAGTCTTCTTGCCTAACAGTCATAGACTGGCAACTGTAAATTCAGTTTTGATTAAGATTGTGGTCTAATGGACAGAGCTCCTTCCCTTCCCTGGGTAGCTCAGTTCAAAATGGCCAAGATTCTCTCTCTACATGTTGCTTAGAAGGTTTTCTTTATGTAGAAAATTTATATGTCTGTCCAGAGACCTCAACCTTCCAGGTACAATAGAGAGCCCCATCCTTGAAACTGACTGTATTTAGCATCTCTTTTTCAAATGTGGTAGCCAGATCTGGACACGGCACTTCAGTTGTACTGCTGATTGTCACGCTGGTTAAATGATGTTAAGGTTCATTGTGTTCAGCACTTACTGTAAGAGCACTGCAAAAATCTCTTCTTATACCAGTCTGTTACAGTCAACATTTGTCATTTTCCTAAACAGAGGAAGGTCAGAAAGCCATCGATTTTTGGTTGGTGTGGTAACCTGAGATACTGATGTTCAGAATGCTTTCCTGAATAATTCATAAAAAGAAAAATGGCTTCTAGTTCTGACCTCACAAAGTGGATGAATATAAAGGACAGTTAGGGAAAAGGCGATGGTGAAATGTCTATTTTCCCTTGAGTTAAATGCATTAACAAGCAGATTCAACAGAATACTATTAAATATGTATTTGCATGTTTGAGCACATTGTGGAGAACTTTTTCAATCAGAACGGGCGATCTGATACTGGTAAAAGGAATGAGACTGTGTTTTGCAATGGCAACCTCCCTCTTCGAAAGGGGTATGCATCTGAATACCAGTTGCTTGGAGGAACAATAGGGGGAGGTTATGGTCTCCATGTTATGCTTGTTCCATTAGGGCTGATCTTACGGTCTTACACTGCTATTTTGTTTTTGTGACCACTTCATTCAGATGGCAGAGTTGTATAATGGTACATGTACATGTATACTGGATCAGTTTTCATAGAGTTTGAAGGGGCGTTATATGCCTTTTAGTCCAACCTTGTGCTCAGTGAAGGCAATCAAAAGCTGGAGCATTCCTGTTGCTTGCCTGTCCAGTCTGTGCTTGAAAACATCATAAAGGGAAATCCCCTTCCCCCACATTCAGCAAATTGGTTCCATTTTCCAGCTGCTCTTGCTGCGAGGACATTTCTCCTAAGGTTCCCTGAGTATCTACCCTCCTATAGGCCCATTAGATCTAGTGTTAACCTTTGTAGCTACACAAAACAAGTCTTTGCCTTGTGACCAATGCTCCCTCTAAGCTGTGGGGTCTTGTGAGCAAAAATTCTACTTTGTGAGCGACTGGCATTAATGTTCTGAGCAATCGATTTGGCTGCTGTATAAAGTAGTTTGCTTTGGAGCCATCTTTTCTGAGCAAAGACAAAAATGTATGAGCCGGAGGCTAAAAAACTGTGATCTAGCTCACGCTAACTCAGCTTAGAGGGAACATTGCTTGTGACAGGCCTTCAAGTGTGCCTTCTTCAGGCTGAACTTATCATGCTTGTTCAGCCAATCCTCAGAGGATTTGCTTTCCAGACCCCAAACACCTTTGTTGCTCTCTTCTGAAACTGTTGCAGTATTTCAGCATGTTTCTTAAAGTGTAGTGCCTAGAACTGGACACAAGTATTCCAACTTAGATCTGAGCAGTGCAGAATAAAGATGGGAAAGCCATGCTTCTGAAGTCACATTAGCTTTTTTTTTGCAGCCACATCACACTGCTGACTCTTTGTTCAGGTGACTGGTTTCAACTTGAAATCCTTGTCATGTGTACTGCTGCTGGGCCAGATATTGCCTAGCCTCTACTTGTGTATTTAATTCTCTTTTCCTAAATGTAGATCTTGGTATGTTTAGAAAACACAGCCCTCCTTGAAGTTGTACAGCCCGGCTTGTAGGCTATTGAGTTCTTGAGATTAGATGTCTGTCTGCACTGCATGCAGATTAATTGATCTAGAATATGAGGCAGACAATACTTTGTGTAAGGAATGCCTCTTCAAAAGAAGATAACTCTAACCCCTCTCCATTCTTTCACTCAGATTGGGTTAAAGATAATCTATTCCAACTAGATAGCTTGAATTCCGTTCAGTTGGTTTCCCCACTTTTAAAGCCTTCGAAAAGAGGGAGGAATGCTTTGGGTTTGCATGTTTATGCAATGCCAGATGATAGTCAAGGTTGTAAAGGTGGCAGATCTTTGTTGGCTTTTTTCTTTGTGCCCTTCACCTTCTCTTCTCTCCCCTGCCTCCAGAAGACAGAAGGGTGTTGCTGTCTTGCAGTTCATTAACCTGCTAAAAGAAGTCTCCTGAGTTTGATTCCAGTCTTAAGGAGTGTACCACCTAATGGGTTTGCTTCTGTTTTATTGAAAAGGAACATTAGATCTCTTCCTGAGGCTATTCTCCAATGTAAATGTTTTAATGTGTGCAAAACAACAATATTATGGCACCTTTAAAGACTCGAGAATATATTGTGGCATAAACTTTTGTGAACCAGAGTCTGTTTGGCTGGAGACACGAAATAATCTAACAAAATGGGTCCTGGTTCATGGAATGTTGTGCCACAATAAATTCATTAGTCTTTAATGTGCCATGTGACTCTTTGCTATTTGGCTGCAGGCAGACTAAATAGCAAGCAACCCCTCTGGGTTTTACAATGCATAGTTTTAAATGTTTTGAAAGCACAAGAACTTTCTTAATTTGGAACCAATAATAAATACTTTCTTTTGGGTGTCATTGTTGCCATTGCTCCCAGAGAATAATTAGGACATGATTTTATTTGCATATGTTTAATTTTAAGATTGCTAGTTAATAAGCATTCAGGCTTTGCTCATGCATGCCCCTCACAAAGCCTGATGAATATATTAAAAAAGCTTAAAGCAATGCATGCCACATTCACAATCTGAACTGGGCATTGTGCATGTGGGAATTGAGGAGAACACACAACTCACATGTGACTGTTGCACAGGGTAAAGACCGTGGACCCAGCGTACATGTCCATAATGTGTGAATCTGCTCTTATTCTTCTCTAGCCAACATTCTTTTAGAAGTGACTGTTTCTCCTCTTCCCCCTTTCCCATGTAGGAAGCAGACAAAGCTATTAATGAATAATTAATTCAGAGGTGACAGTGAAAACAACTTGGTCATAGTATATAGATTCCTCAACAATTTGGTTATTGTCCAGGAAAAATGTTAACAGATTTTAGTGCTTTCCAGGTGGTTGGTTCAGCTCTTAACTGTAGGACTAGAAGGCAATCACTTAGTGGGACTGGTGGGTTGCTGCTTAATCACCTTTATGAGTGTCTTTGCATATCTATCGTAGGTAAGGCTTGTTCTGATAAAGGGATGCAGGAAATTTTGATTAACACTCAGGGGAGTGGCCTAATCTCAGAGGAAATATTCTTTCTCTGGGAGCAAAATCATCAGCTTATTAGGTTGCAGGCTGAGAGGAGATGAGTTTCCTTTATGGAGGCAAATAAGCAGGGTGGAGATGAGCATTTGGCCAACTGCCAGGATGGAACAAGACAGATGGCTGTGTAGATATCCTGAGCTGAGCCTTAAAGGTTTTGGTACATGTACCTTAATTTGATTGGAGAAAGGGTGCATGTGGGGATCTGCTCCCAGTTTCATGGTAGATTTAAAGTGAAACCCATCCAATCCAGCTGGAAGGGTTAATAGTTCTGGGCGCCTGCCAGAAGCACACAAGTCAAGGTCTGGGGAACTGAGCAGTAGAGCTGTCTGTCTTGACCAGCCTCTGTTTTTCGAAGCTCTTGCATGTTTGTGTCCACACCAGGGAAGGAGAATGCTAAAATAACACCAGTGACTATACAATTTATCCTCATAAGTGAATGTTCTTTTCTTAGTTCAGTAATACCCTGTAGTGTAGGGGTGTGTAAAAAAAACCACCAGTATTTTTCGGCTTTGGGTAAATCAGACCCGAAAAATATCAGTAAATGCCGAATTTCCAGAGTAAAATACCGGTAAGGTATTCGGATTGGGGCTGTATTCGGTATTCCCAAATATATTTGGGTCCGGTTTATACCACCAGAGGGAAAGGAGGCATGTTAAAATGCCTTCTTTCCCTCTGGTAGCCCCTAGAGATTTCCCTGTCAATTTCACTCCCCACCAGTCAGCAGTGAAATTGCCTAGGGAAAGCCTGGGCTCTCTGCCTTCCCTTCTCCAGCTGACAGATTGTAGCTGGAGAAGGGCAGGCAGGGAACCTAGGCATATTTAAAATACCTTTCTTACCCTTTCCGAGATTGGGGAGCGAAAGAAAGGCATTTAAACATGCCCCCCCCCCACTTCCCCGAGCTTCTCTGCAAAAGCGGAGAGGCTTAGGGAAGGAAGAGGGCATGTTTGCATGCCTGCCCTCTGTCTTCCCAGCCTGCCCGCCGCAGCAGGGAGGTAAAGAAAGGCATTTAAACTTGTCCCCCACATTGAGGAGGGAGAGAAAAGCAGTTAAACTCAACAGCTGACAGGTGGCTCAGGCAGCTGTTAGATTTTTCAGTATAGCAAAATGAACCCGAAAAAAGCTTAATAATTACGGCCTTTTTGGGTTCAGCTATACCGGTAGCCGAATACAGATCTCTGATCTGTATTTGGCTTATGTGATACCCGAAAAATACCGACAAGGTATTTTTTCAGTTCAGCTATAGCTGAATGCACACCCGTACTATAGTGTTTTGATAACAGTTTTCCAGTGTGCTCCAGTGAATTGAGATTATATTTGGGATAAATAAGATATTTCCCTTTTAAAGATCTCAGACTGTGATCAGAGAATCTCACACAGTGTTCCAGAGGAAATGGTTGGCCACTATGTGAGACAGGATGTCGGACTAGATGTACCACTGCTCTGAATCAGCAGGGCTCTTCTTATGTTCTTATGTCTCAGAGGTGATAGTTGCTAGCTGGAGGGAGAGGGTTCCCAAATGAGAGGGGGGGATTCTTTGGTTTGGCTCATGGGCACATCACCCCCCTGAAAGATGGCAACTGGTAGAACCTCATCCCTCTATCCCAAAATATAAGGCTGGCACTGCTGCTTGTGCTCTTTGTAGGGATTCTTTAGTAAATTCAACAATCACACCATAACGTGTCCTTTATGCATTATAATATTTTTTGTTCTTTCCCCAGTCTATTTCCAAAAGCTGTTATAGATGAAGATTAAAATAGAAAACCATATGTAGGTTGTGACAGCTCTTTCTTCTCATAATATGTGTACCCTGTTACTACTTTGCAGTCTACCGCATTTGACTGCTATAGAACAGTTGCCATTTTTATAATTTGCTTCTTTAGACATAAAGACCTTTTTATGTAATCTGAATGCTGGTGCCTGCTATCTCAGGGCCTTTTCCATTTTTTGCTTTCATTAAAATTGCAATTGCAACCTGCGTGCACATTTTGATCAGGGCTCTGCTGAAGGAAGCTTAATGGCATTTGCCCCCGAAGGACTTGCTCATTATGTAAGCTCATTTGTTGTGCCCATTGTAAATGGGTGATTTTAGCGATCTGTTGGTTGTGGCCTCTGGGTACAGGCAGACTTGATTTAGTTTTCCCTATAAATCAACATTAGTACTCAGTGTTGCATAGGTGTTAAGAGAGGCATGTTGCTGAGCTTGCTGTTAACAAAGGATTTTGTTGCATTGGCTGTTCTCACAATAGTTACTGAGTAGAGATTTGCACTAGATTTGCACACAGCTGCTGGGGAAGACTTTGGCTGGCTTGTGCAGCTCCTCATTCTTTAGCTTTTTCAATATATTTATTATATTATTTTTTAAAAATCTTGTGACAGATGATGATTCAGGGCATCTTATGAAGTCAGTAATCACCGGCACAATGAATTTCAGTTGCTGTTACTGGCCATTGTGAGAGAATCAGTGCGGCAAGAGAACCAGTATGGCAAACCGTATCATTAGCCATGCACATGCTATTGGGTAGGCAGATCATTCCATATAGTCTATTATAGAACTGCTTATTATGCTACTTTTTAAATCAGCTGGGGCAAGACATATTTCGGAACAGGCCTGCCAGATCCCCAAAGTCTATCTACCTGATTTCCTTTTTCTCAGTCACTGCACAGCCAGACTGAACATGTATGTTACAGGCAAAATGGCCAGTTTGTGACTAAATGTACTCATAATGCTAAAAGCGGTTTAGGTTGCAGGATTGCATGCTCCCTTCCCTCTTGTGCACACATTCATCATCCTGTTGGATAACCCCTGCTCTATCGCATTTGTCAAGTGACTCCATCTCAGCTTTCAATCCTATGTTGTGTCATAGCACTGGTAACCAGCTGGCAAAGCAAGAATGTTGTAGAAGCAGGAACTGTCTAGTGGAGCAACTCCATGTCAGCCTGACAAGTTTAATGTGGTTTGGAGAGCGTGAGTGAAAGGAGCACAAACTAGTTGTAAGAGGAGGAGCTTGTTTAATAATTGAAGCAGGGCAAAATGTTATTGTTCTCTTCCATAATTGAAGGATGGTGATCTTTGGTGTTCCCCAGAGTGGGTTGATCAGGAAAAAAGAGGTATGCTTTGCCATGCAGATCTTTTGCGCACAGACAGATAGTGAGCCATCTTTCGGCACTCTCTAGTAGTCATCTCCACAAATGAGGTGCACCTGTTCCTGGGCATAGCTGAAAACAGTGCATTCTAAACCAAGAGAGGACATGGAATAGCACAATCTTGCAACCCTAGGAAATGGTTTTTCTTTTCACATGAGTCAAACAATTGGCAATTTTTTTTGCCATACCTTAATAATATTTAGAAAAGCTGCTGGGAGCCACATGAAATTTCCTTGCCTGCTGGCGAACTTTGTGACATGTGTTGAGTTGGCAGCTGGCTAGCAGAACTCAATTAACTTGGCTCAAACTGCTGTGCCACATTCTGTAAACAATGAATACTGTCTTTGAACAAGTGACCCACATTAGCTCAGCAGGGAGAGAGAGACATAATGAAAGAGCCCATGCAGTTTGAATAGTTTGCCCTTGTTACTGGTAGGTCCATTGAGGACTATGGTGAAATAGAGAACAGCTTGTGCATTTGACCAAGGCCTTTATTTGTTGATTCATGTTCTAAATCTGTAGTAGGTGCTTTTTGGTAGTAGGAGAAAGAAAGTTGGTTTTGGCTTAGTCAGTTCTGCAGCTGTCTTAAGTGTGTGTGTGTGTGTGTGTATGTATTTGTTATGTGTGCATGAAAACTGGCATTTGCCTTTTGTTTTCCATACAGGTAGTCCTTCCAACTTTTATTTTGGAGAAGAGGTCCCTGTTGGAGATGTATGCAAACTTCCTGGCACATCCAGACCTGTTTTTGTCGATCGCAACAGGGACCACGCCTGAGGACAGAATCATTAACTTTGTGGAGTATTACTTAACGGCCTTTCATGAAGGCCGCAAAGGAGCTGTTGCCAAGAAGCCCTACAACCCAATAATTGGAGAAACTTTTCATTGCTCTTGGGATGTGCCTAAAGACAAAGTGAAACAATCCAAAACTAATTGTGCCTCACCAGCTCCCAAGGACCATGTCAAGGGGGTTGGCCAGGATCCATCTGCGTGCTACAAGCTGAGGTTTGTAGCTGAACAAGTATCCCATCACCCACCAGTATCTTGCTTTTACTGCGAGTGCAAGGAGAAGAAGGTGTGTGCGAATGTTCATGTGTGGACCAAAAGCAAGTTCATGGGGATGTCTATAGGTGTTTCTATGGTAGGTGAAGGTAAGACACACCACCAAAAATATTACACTTCATAGCATGCTTGCCCAGCAGAAGTTAAGACAGCTTAGCAGATAAGTACCCCCTCCCGATTTTTACCACCAGCCTACCGAAAGAAAAATCTACTGGCAAGAGCAACAGCAAAGCATTTGATATACTTCTCAACTTATAGGTACTAAAAATAGTAGAAATGTCTTCTGTCTTCTAAACAATGAGATTCAGTTACTGTGTTGGTTTAGAGTACTCAGTGGATAGGAGTGGGCTGCATAGATTCATTTGGCTGTTTTTAATCTTAATTTTAATAATATGTTTATAAATATAAATATAAAACACACACACATATGTTTAATAAATATATACCCCTTGTAAGGTCAATTAAAATAGGGCAAATGCAGTACAAAAATTATATCCCTTTTATTTTTCCCCTTTAGTATATAATGACATGCAGTGTGGGGGGGGTAAGAAATCTTAGATTCAAAACTATATAAATAAATGGCTGTTTTGACTTAAATTCTTAATCCATGTTAATATGGTGCAGATTTTATTAGGTTTTATTTGTGTGTACTTCTTTCTTTGTTTTGTTTACAGCCTGTTTTTTCCACTGTACGATCAAAATTACCTCTACAGGAGGGAAGGGTGCAAAACACAGTGGCTTTGTTCAGATATAATGCCAAATTGTGGTTTGCTGCTACAAGAGCAGTCCTGGGAGAGTCTTCCTTTCATGCAGCCAGTTAATTAGAGATTTCTGGTTTGGGGGTCAGCCAAAATTTGTTACGTCCCAAAGAGTGATTAACACTTGGAATTCACTGCCACAGGAAGTGGTGGCGGCTACAAGCATGGACGGCTTCAAAAGGGAATTAGATAAGCATATGGAGCAGAGGTCCATCAGTGGCTATTAGCCACAAGGTATAGATAGGGACTCTGGGGCAAGTGATGCTCTGTCATCTTGGTGCTTGGGGGGGTCAACAGTGGGATGGCTTCTAATGTCCTGGCCCCACTGGTGGACCTCCTGATGGCACTGGTATTTCTGGCCACTGTGTGATACAGAGTGTTGGACTGGATGGGCCTTTGGCCTGATCCAACATTGGCATCTCTTATGTTCTTATGTTCTTATGTCCACACTTGCAAAATATCATTTGCAGTTTCCCTGAAAATATGGACTCCAAATCAGAATTTAAAACACTGTTTTGCAGTCAAACCCGGAAGTCCCCAGTTAGTGTGGGGGGCAGAATAGAGTGCATGATCCTGAGGATGTCTTGGGCTCATTCGTATAGTGGCAACCCATGGTTTATCGTTTTTCTGACCAAAGCTAATGAGTAAGGCAAGTGGGTTAGACCAGGTATCTGTGGGAGAACAGTGTCCTGAAGTTTGAGCTAGAAATGGGCTTATAGGCAACTGATCTTTTATTTTGCTTTTTTGAAAGATAATCTTAGCTTTTCTTCATAGAAAATTAGTTCATAATCTGAGGCTCTAAAAGCTGCCCCAAAATGCAAGCTAAATACCTTACAGAAGACATACCGTCAAATTTCTTACAGTTACTTGTGTGTTACTTCAACCATTCTGCTGATTTCCCCCAAACAAGCAACAACAAGGTTGGTTCAGGAACAAAGAGAAGGGCCACTTGGACAAATACATTTACCCCTTTTACCTTTTCTCTTTTATTCTGTGGCAGCCATTCTGTGCCTGTGTAATAGAGTAAGACTGTAAATTCCTAATATCTGAGCTCTGGTGTTCTAGAAGTTTTGTCGCACATTGCATGTTCTTCCTGGACAATTCAAGGCTGTATATATTTGACCTGCTGCTGCCTGGTAAACTTCTTGCAGATAGAAAGCTTAATGTATGGGTGCAGTGAGTGGCTTTTGGAGTGAGATTTTTTTTGAAAGAGTGGCTATATACCTGATAGATAGGGACTACTGTGGCTTATGTATGCATCCCTCCCCTACAGCCTAGCAGAGTCTTTGACAAGCTAAATACCTGCAGTAGCTTCAGTCATTCAATGAGGGAGTGAAGGGAGCTGCTACTAACCTAGAAGCAATAGAGCAGCTTCCACAACAGCACAAGGATCTTCACTATGTGACTGAAGGTAAGCTGTAGCAGCCATTCTGTGGCTGTGCCCTAGGGTTGCCAGACCCCCCCAGATGTGGGCGGGGTTCCCCTGGCTTCTGGGACTCTTCTCTGCCACTGACCAGGTGGCCACCGGGGGGGGAATTACCCCCCCCCCCAAATAGGCAAGAAGCTGGAAAGAAATGCATTGTGCCTATGTCATCTGGAAGTGGCGAAGGCATGTTGATGATGTCGGAGGGCGACGTTCTGATATTTGGGCAAAACTCTGGTTAGAAGCTAATTCTACCATAGAGGTTTTGTGCACAAACCAGAGCGTCACCCCCGATGTCCCCAATGTGCCCACATCATTTTCGGGTGACATAGGCACATTGCATTTCTTTCTGGCTTCTTTCCTCCCCGCTCCTGGTAAATTCACCCCCCATCACCCGCCTGGTCATCCATCAGACCTGGCAACTCTACTGTGCCCACCATGCTGTGTCAGAATTCCAAAAGTGCCCACAGGCTCAAAAACATTGGGGACCCCTACAATAGAGTAAGACTGGAATAAAAATAGTGAGAGAAGACAGAACAGAGTTTTTCAGACTGGGTTCCAGGACTCTGGGGTCTGTGAGGGACTCCAAGCAGTCCTCAAGTCCTTTTGTAGGGACAAAGGGTGAGCCTCTACCATGCCTATTCAGCTAGCGGGAGAACGGTCTTTCACATGTGAAGTCCCTTCTAATTAAGGGGTGAGATTGATCATAATTCAGGCCACCACCTTTTGAGTTGTGGCCTTCTGAAATCAGTGACCCACATTATGCAGCTCACATGTCCTTGTGTGCCACAGGAGTGATATACATTTGTCATGTCTGTAATAATAAATACAATTCATGGCTTCTTGTGTCACTTGTAAAGCTTGTGTATGTATTGAAAGGCAAGGATTCCATGTTAAGAGAGAGACTGTGCACGTAAGGTGCTGTCAAGTTGCAGCCGATTCATGGCAACCTCCATAGGGTTTTCAAGGCATAAGAGAGGTAGTTTACCATTGTCTGCATAGTGACCCTGGACTTCCTGGGTGGTCTCCCATCCAACCACTCAGCAGGGCCAACCCTGCTTAGTTTCCGAGATCAGATGAGATTGGGCTAGCCTGGAGCCATCCAGGTCAGGGTGAGACTGACTATAAACATTTACCCGGGTCAGGGTGAGACTGACTATAAACATTTTTAAATGTTTGTGTTACCTAAATTAAGAGACACATTATACAACTTAAAAAAAATAAATTTAAACACCCTGAATGCTTTCCTTGTGGCTTACAGACAGCAAAGAAGGGCACCTTACCTTATTGGCCCTTCTCAGTCAGAAAAGCGCACCCTAGCTGCAGGGCAGGCGTTTCCTCACTCTTTCATCTGAGATGAAAGAATAACCCTGGAGGCTGTTTGAACCATCCAGCAGTAGCTTGTTCTGAATCCTAGATCTTATTCAGACCTTGACATTTTGCTGAGATTCAGGGCTTTTGTGCCTCTCAAAGCTGATTCTGGAGGAGGCATTCCTACAGAAGTGAGGTCATCATGACCGGTCTGCTCTGTTTCCTTCCCTAACAATTCTTGAGAGTTTGAGTCCAGTGGCACCTTTAAGACCAGCAAAGTTTAATTCTGGGTATAAGCCTTCGTGTGCATGCACACTTTTTCAGATACATTGAAACAAGACTTCCTCACCCATTACATATAGGTGGAGGGGGGATGAGTGAGATCTGTGCCATTACCATTGCAGAAAAACCAATATAGGCAGTCATTTTTTGGACGGTGTTGGCATTTCTCCTCACACCACTGGTATCTATCTGATACAGTATTACTTCCCTTTGAAACCGTGAGCCAAGTGTGTACGTGCTAAGCGTCTGGGTACTAATCTGATCAATAATAGTTCTGGTTGCATGGCTGTAAGAGTAAATTGCATCTCAGTGCCAGCTTGCGTGTATGCTTTGGCATTCTGCTTTCATTTACAGGATTATAAATATTTATATGTGGCTTTGCAACTGGCTGGAAACTAAGGAGTACTTTCCCTTGCTTATCAGAGCTTTTAACAGGTTCCATCTCTTCTTTCTGTTTCCCCTCCCCTTCCCTGCCTAACATACGGTCACAGTACTATGTAGTCATCCTGGGTCCTGAACTCCAGAAAGATGTTCCAAGCCATGAATAAATCAGGGAAGATTGTAGAAAGGGAAACAGTTTCTGGGAATTGTGCCTTTTAAAGAAAATATTTTTGTACAAATCTGCTTACAAAATACCAGTAAAAAACCTACCAGTACAAGTTTAGAACTATCGAATCAAAAACTACCAATAAGTCTGTCTAATTGCATGCAATACATAAACATGTACCAGAGCAGCCATTTATTCCATTCCATTTAATTTCTTATAAAATATTCGTACTACAATCTCATGTCTGACAAGATACAGCCTTATTCTGGGAGTTGTTGTTCCGAGACATAATGAATATGGACCATTTTGCCCCAAGGTAACTGAGCCATTAGACCTTGTATATGTCAATTTTATCATTCAGAGAACTTTCCATAATCTTAAATACCACTTGTTCACTATTAGTGCCCCTCCATCTTGCTGCTGTGCAAAGCTTAGCTGTTGTTTTGTTGTTGTTCAGTCGCACAGTCGCGACCCCATGGACCAGCTCCCGCCAGGCTCTCCGGTCTTCCGCCGTCCTCTGAAGTTGGCTCTATTTCATGTTCGTTGCATCTATGACACTGTCTAACCATCTCAACCTTTGCCGTCCCCGTCTTCTTCAACCTTCAATCTTTCCCAGAATCAGGGTCTTCTCCAGTGAGTGCTCCCTTCTCATTTGGTGGCCAAAGTATTTGAGCTTCAGTTTCATTATCTGGCTTTCCAGGGAACAGTCAGGGTTGATTTCTTTTAGGATTGACCGATTTGATCTCCTTGCAGTCCAAGGGACTCTCA